GTGCCTGTGGTTCCGGCTACTTGGGAGGCTGAGGTAGGAGGGATTGCTTAAGCCTGGTAGATGGAGGTTTTAGTGAGCTGAGATTGTGCCATTGCACTCTAGCCTGTGTGACAGAGCAAGACCCTGTCTCAAAAAAAAAAAAATCTTTTGTTCGAATGCCCTATAGCCATCCTCACAGCGCCCAGGATTGTGACTGACTGCATTTTTAATTATTGAAACTTGGCTTTCCATAACATGGTACATGCTTCAGGACTACATGTGACCCAGAGAGCAAGGTGGCTGAACTATAGTCGGGAAGCCCTCAGGTAAAGAGGCGCGTCTCACCACTTATTGGTTAAACAATGCGTAACAGTGAACACTTCCTTTCCCTGGAGAATGGGATGTGAAGCAGTAGACCGCAGCCACGCCGATGGTTATGCAGTGAAGAAGACTTCACCTCTTCCTGTTAAGTTTGCTTGGAATGCTGGCTGCATCAGGAAACTCTGAACTGAACATTTGCTTTGTCAGAAAATATCTTTTATTTTACTTTGAAGTTTGGCAACCTTCATGTTACCCTAAAGCAAAACCATTGTGTCAGGAGTCAAACAAATGTTTAGAAAGCAAACATGATGTCTCTATTGTACAACCTCCTTTCTGTTGGCTGTTTAAAGGATGTACTTCATATATTAAAGGGTACTTTATGTTAAAGTAACTGGAAAAAAAAACCCTAATGGGTATTCCTAAACCTAAACTTTTTCTTTATTCCACATTTGCTACAGTAAAATCCAGTTACAAAAACTACGCTATAGAGAATTATTTTCTATAGTTAAGCATTTCTGAATCCTAGCCATTGGTCCATAGAGGTCTCCTTTTTTTTGGTTGGGGATATAATGGATGATCTCAAATATGGATTACTCTGATTTATGTCTCCTTAGCACCTTGTTAACAATTTTTTTAAATAGAGGGCTGTTTACGCTGTGGGCCAGACTACCAGTAAGCCAGGTCTGGACTCATTACAATTCTTACTTGCCTGTCATGCTCCTCTTTTCACCTCAACTGTACAACCTCTGAACTCTCAAATTACACAGTAAATTTAAAAAAAAAAAAATGGCATTTAGAAGAAGAAAGGGTTGTCAGAGTTATTAAAGGCCTTCTTGGCCGGACACGTTGGCTCACACATGGAATTGCTTGAACCTGGGAGGCGGAGGTTGCAGTGAGCCAAGATCATGTTGTACTCCAGCCTGGGCAACAGAGCAAGACTCCATCTCAAAAAAAAAAACTTTTCATTTGCTGCTGCGGAGAGGCTGGCGATGGCTTTGGTCAGCTCTGTTCTGTGGACTCTGAATGTGTGATATATCGCCAAACAGCTGGATTGTTTTGTTTCCGTTTGAGACTGGGTCTCGCTCTGTTGCCCAGGCTGGAGTGCAGTAATGAGAACACAGCTCACCACTGCCTTGACTTCCTGTGCTCAAGTGATTCTCCTGCCTCATCCCCTCATCCTCCTGTGTAACTGGGATCACAGGAGGATGCCACCATGCCTGGCTGATTTTTTTGATTTTTTGAAGAGACACGATTTGACTTTGTTGCCTAGGCCAGTCTCAAATTTCTGGGCTCATGCAATCCTTCTGCCTTGGCCTCCCAAAATGCTGGGATTACAGGCATGAGCCGCTGTGCCTGACCTAAACATACTGTTTTTAATCTGATTTCAATTATAACCAAGTAGTTGCATTTCCTATGTAGTTGTTCAGCTTCCGAATTGTCAGGACTACCCTCTGTTGCTCACTTCACTATTGTTCAAGTATTAATGAATTGTATTTCATAGACTGCGATGAAGAGAAATTTTTTTCTTACCTTTGTAGTATGTGTAAAATAATGAACACTGGTGAATTAGCATGCAATTGGATATAATGTGCTAACAAAGATTTTTCGTTTCTCAGGTTTGAATTTTACTATTAGTTCCCTTCTACTTGTTTGTGTTTTTTGGTTGTTCCAAGAGGTAGCAGTTGGGTGAAAACATTTCATCTAAGCCTTTGACAGAACAGATACCTCGTGGGCTATTTCTTCACAGGAATTAAAACATCATTGTAAGAAAGTGGTTAAGAAGCACAAAGCCAGGTGTGGCATTTGTGAAAATGGCAAGATAAACAGCCACAGAAGTGTTCACAGAACACTTAGTGCCTACCTAGATGGTGTACCAAGCACATTCAGATACCTAGTTTAATCTCCACCATCTTTTGAGTTTATTACTCCCTTTTTACAGACAAAACTGAGGCTCCAAGAAACACTCGCTCAAGTTTACCCAACTGGCAAGTGATGGAGCCTGAATCTGAACTGTCATCTGACCATTGGTGACCTTGTGAAGGTTTCACAGGTTCCCCACACTGACCAGACAGAAGGACTGGTGCAGCCAGCATTGCCTGTTTCCTGTACGAAGTCTGAGCTTTTTAAGGACTCTCCACTTTGTATAATGCCCCTCACCTTTTTTTTTTTTTTTAAAGACGGAATCTCGGCTGGGTGCAATGGCTCATACCTGTAATCCCAACACTGGTCAGGAGTTTGAGACCAGCCTGACCAACATGGTGAAACCCCATCTCTACAAAAAATACCAAAAATTAGGCATGGTGGCAGACACCTGTAATCCCAGCTACTCAGGAGGCTGGGGCAGGAGAATCGCTTGAACCTGGGAGGCGGAGGTTGCAGTTAGCTGGGATCGTGCCATTGCACTCTAGCCTGGGCGACAAGAGCAAAACTCCATCTCAAAAAAAAAAAAAAAAAGAGATAGGATCTCTAACTCCTGGGTTCAAACAATCATCCTGCCTGAGCCTCCTGAGTAGCTGAGATACAGGCATGGGCCACTGTGCCCACCTTGTATACTGCTCTTTTGGCAAGTCACTTCCATCTCTGAGCTCTTGCCCAATGGAGTTAAAGTAACTCCCCCACATCCCGAACGGATGAGGAGCCTATTGTTATCAACAAGATAGCTATTTGCATTTGTAGTTAGATGATCTTTCATCCTGTGGAACTGTGGCAACATAAGTATTGCAGCAGGTGTTAGTATCCCAGACCTCTGAGCCCTAAATGTCAGCAGCGCAGTTCACCCCCTCCACTGAGTACAAAAGATGCTCCCGTGCATTTCCAGATACATTTGAAGAGGATGGGGCTGCCGCAAGGCTGGAGCTACTGAATGTGAAAACAAGAGACACCATAATGTTCAGGCAGCCCTCCATCTGTACCGGCGGGTTCCACATCAAGGATTCAACCAACCATAGGTCGAAAATACACTACTGAATATATACAGACTTTTTTTCTTGTTATCTCCTAAACAATACAGTATAGCAACTTCACATAGCATTTGCATTGTATTAGGTATTGTAAATAATTAACAGATGAATTAAAATATACAGGAGGAGGTGTCTAGGTTATATGCAAACACGTACACCATTTTATAGCAAGGACTTGAGCATCCTTGTATTCAGGAATCTTCAGGATATCCTGGGACCATTTCCCCCTGAATATCAAGGGATGACTGTATATCCTCACCTATCAGAAAAACCCTCAAACTTACATCTTGTCTTATTTGGGTTGTGTATCAACCACTCCAAGGATCTAAGTTCTTTTTTGACTGAAAAGACTCTCCCACCTCCTAGCTGGGTGACCTTGAACAAGGTAGCTAAACTCACGGAGCCTCGGTTTCATCTATAAAGTGGGGATTAAGCTTGCTGAGATTAGTAGGCCCTAGTGCAGAGGCCCATGTTCCTTCCTGGCCTTTCCTCAGCTCTTCCTGTCCTGAGCTGCCCTTGCCTGTCCTCTTAGCTCAGGGGACATGGTGAGATCATTGCCTAACTTACCTGCCACAAGTTTAAGGAGCAAAGCTGTGTAAAGAAATGAAGTAAATGGGGAAAGGTGGAGTCCCAGCTTTAGTGTAATTATCTTTGATGGCACAAATGGAGAGACAGTTGCTAGTCCCCTAGAGGAGTATGTAGGCAGTTTTCCAACTTCGTAATAGAGAATATTTCTTTATACTGGAGCTTAAAACCATTTGGTTTTTCTAAACGTGAAATATACGTCTTGGATATTTTGATGTATTTTGTACATTAAAACCCTTCGGGGGGAATCTAACATTATTTGCAGCAAATCAACCAACTCAAATTCTGGCCTCTGAAAGCTTATTCCACATATCAAAAAAACCACAAAACCTCAAAATGTTATCCTTACGTATTTGTGATGGTATCTTTTTTATACAATGATATCTTTTTTCCCCCCTCTGAGACAGAGTTTCACTCTGTCACCCAGGCTGGAGTGCAGTGGTGCAATCTTGATTCACTGCAACCTCCGTCTCCTGGGTTCAAGCAATTCTCCTGCCTCAGCCTCCCCAGTAGCTGGGATTACAGGCATGTGTCACCACGCCCAGCTCATCTTTGCTGGGGATTACAGGCGTGAGCCACTGTGCCCAGGCTGTAATGGTATCTTAACCATTCTAAAATTGTGTCAGAGCCTTAAGCCACCAGGCAAGGTTGAAACTGGGGAAACAGAAATCAGGGTTTTAGACACTGCAAGGTTGCAATTTACCAAGCAATAGCCTGAGCCCCCAAATTCTATCTGATTGGTTCCTGGATTCTATCCCATCCAGGATGGGAGCTAAGCCTTTGCCTCTGTCCAGAGTTTCCATCTTCTTGAAGCCAGGATTATTAAGCTTGGGGGAGGGGAATCAGAACTCTACCCTGTGTCCATTCTAATCAGGGCCTCTGTATCTGCCTGGAGGAAGAAGGACTTATTCCTCCAAATCCCAGACTTCCCCTAGTCCACTGATGTAACATCTTTCACCGTTAGATTTCACCTAACACTCCATGAACTACATGGTGGCAAGAGGTCGTCTCATAGAAGCAGCAGCTGAATGAGCACACCCCTTCCTGCTAGTAAGGGCCATCTGCCACCCCTGGATAATCCTACTCTTCTCTTCCCTTAGTTCTGGCACTCAGCACCAGCCCAGTAAATGGTCATAGAATGAATAAGTGAATGAATTAATGAATGCAGAACAGTTTTACTGCAACCGGCGGCCAGACATCCAAAGAGAAAGCTGAAAAGAAACAAACACACATTTACCCACAGAATTCAAGCTCACTTCCCAATTTTTTTTTTTTTAGCAACCCATAGTAAAAAGAGCAATGCAAAAAACAAATCCACTGATTTTGAAGCAGCTCCAGTGAGAAATGCAACTTGCTATGTGAGCTAGTCAGGTTCCTGGATACCATTGTACAGCCCTTCGGCACAACTTGCTGTGGAGCTCTGTGGTCAGAACCGCTTGTCTGCCCTTCCATGACGCCACACTCACACCCGGAGGTTGCTCCGCATCTCCCAGTCCTTCAAGCTGTTCGTTCGTTTTTTTGTTTGTTTGTTTGTTTTTAATTGTTCCCAGAAGCAAACACGTGGTGTAAACAATCCCTGGATTGTAAAATAAACAATACTACAAAGGAAGACACCACCAAATGAGGCTCTATAGTCACCATGCCCAGCAGCAACCGAAAAAGGTTTGGTTTCTTGTCTGGGAACAGCACTCACCCCACCCCCCAAAGGAACTGCTTGGTCCAAAAGATGGAGAAGATGAGCAACAGAGTGACACTGAGGATGACGGTCATCAGGTAGGCAAAGATGCGGAACTGAGGATTGCGGAAACACTCCCTCGGAGAATAGTGGCTGGGGATGGGGATGGGCGTAGGCACGGTGGCAGAGGCCGTGTCTGGAGGCGGCCCAGTCTGGCCCCCAGGCTGGGGGCCGAGGTCCAGCGTGTAAACTCGAGGCTGGCGCAGGAAGTAGCGGCTCTTGGGCTGGTCTTTGAGGCACAGCTGACGGCCTTCCAGGATGACGTGGTGCGGCTCCAGGCGGAGCAGGGTGAGCATGGCAGTGTCCGTGGGCAAGTCAGTGACGGGCTGCCCCAAGGCCAGCACCGTGGGCTGGCGACAGAGTGGGCACAGCAGGCGGCGCTGGGCTGGAGTCACCAGGCTGAGGTGGGCCAGGCATTCCACGCAGAAGGAGTGGCAGCAATCCAGCATTTTGGGGGTATGGAACGTGTTGTTGAAGGGATTCCAGCAGATGGGACACTCGGCCTCAAGCTCCCGGCCCTCCTGCTCAGCCATCCTCAGCCACACACAGGGAGGCCTCGCGGGAGACGTCCTGGCAGAATGGGGAAAGGAGCAAAGGAACAGCCATGAAGCCCCATCCCTGCGCTTGGCCTGGGGCAAAGTGTTCTGTGGGTGTTGAAAGGTGTCATCACCATGTTTTACTCAGGTTCAAAAGCGTTTTGTTCTTGATCACCAGTTCCTAAGCCATCGAGTGGAGTCGAATGCTCCTGCAGCCTCCCCTCTGTCAAGGTGAAGGCCTGGGCCACCCCTACCAAGAGCCCCCAAGTGAGCCGGCATTGGAGGAGACAGCGCCCCGGGCTTTGGAGCTGGACGCAAATGCTCCTTATGGTCGGTGTCTGTGGCCGTGGCTGCCCTGAACCCAGGGAGCTGGGGGTAAGCCGCAGTCTCTGGATTTTGCTAGAGGACAAATGTTTCCTTCCCTGCTACCTCAAATCCCTGACTAGCGCAGAGATCGGTTTTGTGAATTCCCTGGTCTATCCCTCCTATGGGGACAAATGCCAGCCCTCTTTCCCTCCTCCCCTTGAGCTAGAGGGCCAACCCTCCAGGTCCTACTCACCCAGTCCTTGGCCTGGCAAGGGGACCCCTGGAAAGGCTTTTCTCCCTACCTGGAAGGCTTGTAGAAGCTCCTCTGCCCCATTTCCCAGATCAGCCCTCCCAGAGCCTCTTCCCCTTCCAAAGCCTCTTCCCGGTCCTCTGCCTACCCTGGCTCCTCCTCCCTCCCTTTGTCCTGGGAAACCTTCAGAGCACGCACCTGGGCTTCTGTGGGTTCCAGGGTGGTCAGGCAGACTACACTGGAGGGCCTGAGGCTCCAGTCGCTCCCTCCCCTGAATTGGCAAAGCTTTGGGAGACTGCCTTCTTGCCACCAACCCAGGGGCCTGTCTCCATGGCAGCAGGCACGCAGCACCTGGGGCTGCCAGGTGGCCCAGTCTGCAGCCTCTTGAGCACACCTGCTTGGAGCCAAGGCCAGAGAGCTTCCTGGGGGGTGGGGTGGGGAGGGAGATGGAGGACCTGAGTTCCCCCCAGGGCATGGCAACTAATTGAACCTGGAAGCCAAACACCTGTGAGATTGTGGGCAGTCCCTTCAAGACCTGGCGTCCCTGGTCTGGAAAGGTAGGGTGGCAATTTCCTCTTTCTAGATGTGGAGAGGGTAAAGGAGTCTTCTGGGCTTCCTCTCTCTGGGGTCCTCATTTCTCTTCAAACGTGGCTGGAACCTCCTCCTTGCACAAAGGGGCTGCCTGCTCAGCACTTCGGTTGCTGTGAAAGTCACCTACTTGGAAGCTTAAAAGCTCCGACTATCAGATTCAGTCCAGTCACCCACTGATCTTTTAATGTGCCTAAGTAACTGCAAGCAGCGTGTGCAAACCTTGCTGCCTTCTGCTTTGTTCTTAGCACACAGCGGGTCAGCCTTCTGAGATCTTAGAGTTGGTCGTCCCACCAACCTTAGGGGGAGTTAAAGCGGGGAGTTGGAGGGAGGCGCACTCCAGCCCTGCTTCTCCATTTCAACCAGAAATACTTGGCTTTTCTCTGTTTTTCGTATGGGTCATTTGAATAATCTGAAGAGTTGAGCTACTGGGGAAAAGAAAAAGTTTAAAAACCAATTCTCCATCTGAACTACTCATGTTGCAGATGAGAGACAAGAAGTGACTCACCCAAAGTCACCCAGCTAGTTAATGGTGACGTGGGACCCATGTCTTCAGACTCATGGTTTTCGAAAAGACGGAAGGCTACATCCACGCCGTCCACCTACTCAGTGTGTGTTACTAGCTAGATAATAAGTGTTTGCATGTGATCAGGAATCCCCTCACAGCCAGAAGACTCATGGGAGAAATCCAGGAACTGTGCAAGAGGGGGTCTGGGGGGAAGGGAGTCTCCCTAAAGCCCCTGATATGATATCATCTATCCCGACTGAGTCGATGTCTGAAGCAAAACCTGCTCTTTATACTCTTTGACCCGTGGCTTCCTGGTTTTCTTCTAGACCTCTGGCACTGCCCCAAACAGGGAAGGAGGAAATGAAGATATGTGGAGGGAGATGGAGCCCTAAGCGAAACTAGGGTAGTTTACCAGGGCTCTGCACCAGTGCTTTCTTCTGCGGCCCATTCATCCACTCGGTCATTATTGAGGGCTTACTCCAGCCCAGGTGCTGTGCAAGGGATTATTGGGTATTATGGTGAACAAAATAGACATTGTCTTTGACCTCATGACATTTAGAGTGTAGTGAGGCAAAGAGATGTTTAATGATTAGTGGGCAATAAATAAATACACAGTTTTAATGGTTGTTAATAAAAGGCAAAAAGGAAAATGGGCTTCGGGTGCTTGGTCGCTGCTCCCGATGAGACCACCAGAGAATGTTTCTGCAAAGAGGTGACAGAAGAGCTGAGACCAAAGTATATAAGAATCCAGCCACGCAGAGTGGAGGAAGAGCGTTGCAGGCCCGGGGAACAGCAGGTGTGGCTCTGACGCGAGAAAAATTCTTCCAATTTGAGAAAGTGAAAGGAGCCCAGGGTGATCAAGGTGTGGTGGCTGGAGCCAGGGTAGGCAAGGTGGGGAGGGACAGGACGCAGGACCTGTGAGCGAAGCTCATCTGGATTTTATTACAGGGGTGAGCGGTAGGGTAAGGTACCTGATCCTATTTCCATTTTTAAAACACTATTCTAGCTGCAGGGCAGAGGACAGACTGAGGGGACAAGACCGGGAAGGGAGCACCTGTTCGGGCTGTAGCAGTGTGGCTCAGGCATTCGATGGTGGTGCAGGTTAGGCAGTGGTGGAGAAGATAAAAGGGGATGGGATAAGTGATATCTTTGGGGACAGAATCAAAGCCACTTCCCAAGAAGCAGTGGAGCTCTAGGGATCCAGTTGTAGTTTATGTCAAGGTTCATGACGCCAGATCCATGGCTATTTAGGGCTGCGATTCCAGTTGAATTGCTTGACCTCTCTGTGCCTCTATTTCCCCTTGTGAAAAGGAAGCCAAAACTAGTAAAGCTTTTAGTTAGAGCCCAGCACCCAGGAAAGACTACAAAGCGACATAGCACCTAACAACGGGAATGTGTTCTGAGAAGCCCATCGTTGTGTGAACAGCACAGAGTGTATTTACACAAACCTAGATGGTAGAGCCTGCTACGTGTCTAGGCTGTGTGGTCTAGCCTGCTGCACCTAGGCTACAAACCCACACAACTTATTAGGTTCTGAATACTATAGGTATTGTAACACAATGATAATTATGTGTGTATTTCAACATAAACTTAGAAAAGGCACGGTAAATATATGGTATTATAATCTTGTGTGGCCACCATCACATATGTAATCCACTATTGACCAAAGCATTGTTATGGATATATGAGGCAACTGAAATTATTAATGCAAATGGATTTGAGAGAAAGGAAGGGTCAAGGTTGACTTCAAAGCCACAACAAAGTTCTCTGCATCAAGCTTTGAGGAGCTCCTGAATCCCAGAGTGTGTTAGAAGCAGACCTTTTATACTTATCAGAAGCCTTAAATTGTATGTGACTCTGACTCATCATTTCCCCCACTGGGAATTGATTCCACGGAAATCATCAAGGACTTCTGCAAAGATGTGAGTACAGAGATGCCCATCTGGGCGCTGGTTTAACAGTGACGTATGGAGAACTACGTCATCATCCAGTAATAGGACATTGATTAAGTAGATTCTGCTCCATCCATAGGAAGAGATATTATGCAGCCTTTAATATGATGTGGTAAAACTATTAATATGGGTATATGCCTAGGATATAATGTCATTAAGCAAAAAAGAACCAGCAACAAAACCATATTGCAATATAATCCAATTTTCAAAAATGTGTGCACAATGGAAAAAAAATGTCTGGAAAGATAAATAACCAAATATTAGCAGTGGTTATCTCTGGGGGCAAGATTATAAGTTGTTTTTTTTTTTTTTTTAATTCTCTTACCTGAAAATTCTAACTTCACTCCAGTAAGCTTGTATTACTACACGTCAAGATCTCCTGTTTCCCCCCAGATCAGACCTACATTCTCTGAAATTCCATGGCCAGAGCTGTAAAAGGCTGTCCAAGAGGAGGAAGGATCATTCTTGCCTGGATCTTTATCTGTGCTGCTGTCCCAGGGATCCACTGTTGTTTCAGGATCAGCTGGGGAGAGACTCCGGCCACGTATCACCCCCACCCCAAGCCAGGACATCTCAGCTACAGTAAATCCTAAACACTGTCACAAAGTCATCTCCTTGGTCTGTGAACAAGTCATCACCAAATATCAGTTGTCTCCAGCATCACTCCATTGTTTTCACCCAGGAACTGGCATTTCAGAGCACTTCACAGTTGACAGAGGTTCCTGGCCCTTGCTAAGATCTAAGTGTGGTGATCCATCTAGATGGGTTACTTGCCTTTTAGGATATTTTGTTGTTTGCAGAAGGCCATTTCATACTCTAAAACCACCCTGTGAGAGAGGCTGAATGGGGAGTACAAAGTGTGCCAGCTTTGTAACCAGATTTGGAACCATTTGTCTTGGACAAATGGCTTAATCTCTCTGAACTTCATTTTCCTCCGTAAAAAAGGGTAATCATCCCACTCTTACAGGGTTGCTCTGGGGAAGGACTAGTCTATAAGGTGCCCGGTAGAATACAGAAGACATGCAACTCTGGTTAGCATGATTATTGTTGGACCCATTTTCTAGATGGGGAAGCCAAGGCTCAGAAAGTTGAGGCAACATGCTGAAGGCTTCCCAGCTAAAGAGTGGCTGAGTTTGAAAGACGAACCCAGTAGCCTGCCCTCCCAGGCCAGATTTCACCTGCCACGCGCTTCACGGCTGCTGCCTCTCCGGACTCTGGGGCCCTGTGACCCGTCCCTCCGCGACCCTCTCTGTCTCCTTACCTGCTCCCTCGGAGCCGCCTCCTCTGCCTCCCTTCCCTGCAGCCCTGCACGCAAGTACTTTGTTTTCTGACTTCCCAGGCCCGATTTCCAGGCAGCGTGGGTGGGTCTCATTTGCATAGGTCTTAGCAGTGCTTGGCCAGCTCTCACTGTTTCAGGTTTTCTTCTTCCTTCTGATGACTTTGGACTTCCTGTACACCCGGGAAGCTTTGGCTGCTTTGTCTTTCTCCTGTGAGTGACTCTGGCTTTTTTCTCTGAGGGGGTCAAGCGCAGTCATCCTTGCAGGCCTCTGTTCTGGGTTCGGTTGATCTCCTACCATCCCCTCGGATTCCACTGTCCTCTGTGCGCTGACCCGCCTGGACTCCTGGCTTCTGCCCAGATAGATCCTTCCCTATGCTGAGCCCCTGCAACCAAAATACAAACAGCTCTTGCAAAATACTAACAAACGCTGCCACTAATATAGCAGAAAAATAGTCGGGAGACAGTTGAGCATCTGCCTGAAGAGCCAGGGTTCTCAAGCAAGGCACACTTCTAGGTCAGAGTTCAGTCCTCACTGAGAATCCAAACTCCATTTAACTAGCGATGGAGACTTGAGCAAATTAGTTAACATCTGCCAGCCTCAGTTTCTTCACCTGAAAACGGCCATAGTACCCTACCTACTTGATCTGTAGATGAAACGAGGTAATATGTGTCGAGATCGCATAATAGCACAGTGCCTGGCACACAGTAACTCAGTAAATGTTAACCAGAACTATTATTGTTATACGACCGGTCTGTTCACATGGCCCATCTTTTGTTACTGCTCAAATTCTTTTTGTACCTATTCTTTTTGTACCTATGGTCCTCTTTTCTCTTCTCTTCTCTTCTCTTCTCTTCTCTTCTCTCTCTGTCTTCTTTCTTTTCTTTCTTTTTCTTTCTTTCTTTCTTGATA